TTAAATAATATTTTCTTAGTGCTATCTCATATAAAAAATAAATAAAATGTTTTCCTTACTCTAATTTTCTACCTTAATGATATTTTATGCTTTACATTTTACTTCAAAACTTTCTTAGAACTGAAAGTCTTTTCTAGGTATACCAAGAGTCATCTTAATGTGTACTACTAAATATAGTTTGTGACAAACAGAAGAAATAATTATTCTCACTGACTAGATACTAGATGACATTAAGGAATAAATATTAAATTATTTTGGGTGTGATAATGGTGCTGTGGTTATATTTGAAAGAGTTCTTAGCTTTTAAGAATTCATACGAAAACATCTTAAGAGGAAGTAATAGCACTCAGGGATATGCTTCAAAAGAAAATTGGTACAGGCAGGGGATGGAAGTATAGGTAAAAATAATTGCCACGAATTAATCATTTTGAAACAGGGTGAGGGGAGCATGGAGGTCTTTATTCTATTCTATTTGAAATTTTCCACACTAACAAGCAAAAGAGAAAAAGAAATAGTTACATTAAGGGGCATCACTGTAACATACCAATGTTCAGTGTTCAAGGAATTGTAATAGCCTTGTCTGCCTAGTATGTTCCAGACAATGGCAATACGAAGATGGCTAAAATGCATGGTTCTTGCCATTCGATTATACACTCGTAAAAGGGAAAGTAATAATAAATGATATTTCAAGACAGTATGGGTATGGGTTATGAAAAAGTAATAGACTGCTAAAGGATTAGCACAAACCTAGACAAAATGTGTTCTATCTCAGCAATCCTATGAAGATCTGATTATTATTCTGTATTTTAGAAGAATATTTAACAAAGGAAAATGTTCACTTTAAACTTTTAAGTAAGAAAACGTACTTTAAAATTTTGTAATTAAAAATTAATTTTAATTTAAAAGTTTAAAGGCTACATACCAAAATAGAAACTTAGTTATCTTTGGATGATTGAGAACATAAATTTAAAAGAAAATTATTTTGAGCTTTCAACTAATATACAGTTAACCTGTATTTTTATAATAAAATTAGGCATTTCTAAATATTAATATAATTTTATATACAATGAGTTTTTTAATCATATGTTTATGCTATAAGGAGAAAACAGCATGAGGTCATGTTAGAGGAATTGTAAATTTTTTATGCTTATGAGAAGGGGGAAAAATCCACTGGGCAAGGAGGGTATAACTCAGTGGTAGAGCGTGAGCCTAGCATGCACAAGGTCCTGGGCTCAATCCCCAGTACTTCCACTAAAAATAAATAAAAACCTAATTACGCCCCCAAAAGCCACTGGAAGTGGCTAAAAAGTGTTAAAGTAAAATGTATAATTTCCTAGGAGTGGCTAATACGATATTAGCTATTCCACACACATTGGAATTTTATTGGATTTGAAGTATATAATACAAAGATTATCAGAATGAGTTTATCAATGTGATAAACATGTCAACTTATTAATGCTACAAATGTGTCTGAAGGAAATTTTTAAACCTCAAATAATACAAAATAAATAATGGTCTTTATACAAAGGTGGGAACTCTAACATGTCTCTTTCATCTGTATTTGTAACACCCTTTCATTTGTCAAATATACTTTTTGTAGTGTATGTGTATATTTGTAGTATGAAGTAGTTTATTGGAGATTTTATTGCTCCATTCATACAACTCATTTAATTTCTTCTGCAGTTGTATCAGTTTTACTGTTTATCCTATTTGTGTTCTTCACTTTAATTTATTTTCATATTCTATTTTTTTAAAGATGCTAACATAGAAATTTGGAAAGTAACACTACATTTTATTTTTCTACATAAAAGAAACCATATTATACTGTTTTGGACATAACTCTTAACTTAAGGAGTTGTGTCATTTTTGTTTTATTATTTCATGAAGTGTTTTTAGACCAACCGGACAAGCATTCTTACAAAAAAGGATATTTTTGCCTTTTTATTAAAGGTTTTCATTTTGCATAATATTCTGTCACTTGAATGGCACTGTTTTCTTTTTTTCCCCTTAAAGAATAATGTGGAAAATGTCTGAGTATTGTGTTAGAATTCAGAGTCATTCCACATACCATGTAATTTATATGAAAGAATCAGCTTTCCAAATATATTTCAAAAGCCCTGATACTCTTTCCAACCCTTTGCAACTCATTTTTTGTAATAAAAAAAATTTTTTTAGCTCAATTACTTGGCACTATTTATAATGAAAGAATTTGCAGGATGTTTGTTGCCAAGTTGTGTTATGCTCCAAAGTGAACAATTTGTTTCAGCTTTGGAGAAGTTCAGCATTTTTCTGTCTCTAGAGATAAGTAGGAAAATGATACCATTCTATGCATTTGCTACCCCCCGATCATAACTCAGTCTAGCACACGTATTAAGATGATCTCTTACTGGAACTGAATCTTAAAATTTCTTCTGTATTTGCTAAGTTGTTTCCTCTTTTTAACTTTCTACATTATATATTAACTAGAAAATAATACACATCAAAGTCATTCACTTAACAAATATTTTTGAATGAATATGATATGCAAGGCATTGTTCTGAACACTCGAGATACAACTGTGAACAAATAGGCAAAATTCTCCACCCCTCAAGGAGCACACATTTTGGTGGGGGCTGGAGATACCATAAAGGAGTAAAAGTGATGATGTCATTTGGTCACTGTCTTAGTCTCTTTGGGCTGCTATGACGAAATACCACACACTGGGTGCTTTATACAATTTATTGCTCATAGGTCTGGAGGTTGGAAAGTCCCAGATCAAGGTACCGGCGTGGTGGTCTTCTGGGAAGGGCCCCTTCCTGGTTCACAGCCAGCACCTCCTGCTGTGTCCTCACTTGGTGGGAGGGGCTAGGGGTCTCTGGAGCCTCTTTTATAAGCACTGATCCCATCCATGAGGTCCCCATCCTCACAACCTAAGGACCTCCCAGAGTCCCCACTTTCTAGTACATGACATAGGGCTCTAGAATTTTCAACATATGAATTTTTCAGGGACACAAACGTTCAGGTCATAGTAATCACAAATACTGTGGGGAAAAAAAAGAGAGAGTGAGACAGTAGGGTCTGGGGACTGGGAGCTGCAGTTTAAATGAAGATTAGGAAAACATAAACTGGCTGTCATGCACCCAATCCCACACAACTGTGTCCATTTAGTTGATCAATTCCGATGCTGTATATCATGTAGGAAAAAAACCCTTTATAAATGAGTGTGTTTCTTATCGAACTAACTCTAACAATTACTGCTATAATAAAAAGCATGTCCCCTTGGGGGCTTAGAGTAGGTCTGGTCATTTTGAATTTGATAAAAAGTAAATTTGTAAAGGTCTTCCATGAGCAAAAGGGTGTTCTGTGTGCATTAATGACCTAAAGCTGTGAAAAGAGCCCAATGGTGGTTCAATTAGGTTCAGCTGTGGGTAATAAAAAAGGCCTAAAAATAGTGGCTTCAGCTAATGGATGCATATTTCTTAGTGATAGACATGGAAAAAAAGCTGGGTGATCTAGCTCTAGAGTGACAACCCACCAGTATTGTGGACCCAGCTCCTTCTCTTTTTTTCCTTTTTTTTCCTCTTTTTTGTAGCTTCATCCTAAAGTTACCTAATGGTAAGTAAATGTGCAGTGAAGGTCCTCTCAGTGGGGGAAGAAGGGGGTGCTTGCTCCCTGTGCTTTAAGGGGTGACACTGTGGGCTTGGGGGGGCTCAAGTCCTGCACATCACAAAGGAAGGACTGGCCCTTGACTGGCTTCTGGGCAATTATAACCTTTGAGTCCTCAGAATATTCCACCCAATAAGAGTGTCCCTGAGCGTTTATGGTCATAATGTGATTTATGGTGAACACCTGGTTTTGTTCCCTAGGACCCTGGGCTGCATTATCAGTTTGACCTCTGTCAGGGCTGGACACTGAGTCGCCAAGGTCAGTTGCATGGATGTTCCCAGCCTACGGTGACTGATTCCCAGCAAAACCTTGGACACTCAGGTGAGCTTCTCTGCTTGACGACACTTGATACTTGTCACACCTCATTGCTGGGAGAGTGAGGTGCTGTGTACGAAACTCTTGGGAGAGGATGCCTGGGAACTCATGTCTGGTTTCTCCTGGACGCCGCCCCCCCCGCCCCCCCACTCCATGCGCCTTTCTCTTCTACTGTTCCTATTTTGTGTCCTTTTGTTGTATAAACCATGCCATGAAAATAACAGCTTTTCTAGGTCCCGTGTGTCCTGCTGGCAAATCATCCAGTGGTCTGGGGGCTCCTGACGCGGCAGTAATTACTGTTACACCTGTGCCACACATCGTAGGAGGAAGTCCATGACTTTTCCAATAAGAATACTTCCTGACTGTTGAACACATACTTCCATTTATGTATTACTGGCTAACAGCTGGTTACAAGGCCCCAGTAGCTTTAATCCTCTATAGTTTGGCAGTAGCCTGTTCATGCAAAACTTAGATTCTTGTCAGGGGAGAGTGGATACTATGAAGCAACCGGCAGTCTCTTCAGCAAGTGGACTACATTTGCCGTACAAGAAAAATATACTTTCCGGCTGCTCTGGTGTTTTCTCAGTGTTTTAACTTCTACTTTTCCTATTTAATATCTCACAGTTTTAATTGACAATTTAATTGACAAATTGACTAAATTGATTTACTTATAGCCATCAAAATCTTCATTGAAAATTTGGTGTCTTAATGTAGATTTTTCTGTTCTCCTTATTTATTTCCTTTTATTTGGTATATCCATGTTGTAAGCTTTACTCGGGCCCGTGAACTAAATTAATGAGGCACTGCTAAGGGAGGTAATGACACATGATGAAGACAAAGTGTTGGGCAAGAATTTAGCTGTTTTCTTTGAACCAAAATGAAATAGTTTTGTGCTTTATCCATCTATTGTCTGTCCATGTCTCTATGTATTTATTTTCTTGTCTATCAACTCATGGAGCTGACTTTATGGTCACATTCCTCACCAATTCAGGGCTGTTCTTGTAAGTTTTCCTTAGAGCTAACGCATTCTTTCTTTGGCCTTGACGTGGGTCCTGTGATGCCACATCTCTGCACTCTCCCATGTAGCAATCTAAAATGGCCTCTTTTCTCCTCCTCTCCCCTTTTTGAATCTATTTCCCTGTTTCCCACCACTGCTGTATGAGACAGGTTGGCTAAGAGAGAAACTGCCTGAGAGAAACTGCCTCACAGCCCCTGCACAGGGAGGAGGTCTAAGTCATTCTAGAGATGGAGGTGACCACAGTCTGTATCATGTGGCCCCCTCCAGTCTTCACCGAGAGCTCTGAGCTGGAGTGGGTACCTGACCAACCCATAGGCTTACCCAGCAGGTGATTTGACACGAAAATTTTGCCCAAGTAAGGATCAGCTGAGCAAATTAGACTCTTTCTCCTGTGAATTTAAACTGGAAATATGGACCAGGAGATTAGGTAGTTGAAGCAGAAGTTGAACAAAACATTCAGAGAAAGTGGTAGGACAGGAAGGCCATGAGGAAATAAGTAAAAAGTAAGGGTGCTGTTGTTGATAGTTTGTGAAAGGAGGAAAAACAGAGACAGACAGGAGCTGCATATCGTGCAAGCAGAGAGCAATAACTTCTGCCACCCAGATAAAAAGGAAAGCCACTCATTCCCTAGAAGCCACTCATTCCCTAGAATCTCCACTTCTGGGTTCCAGTCTCTGTGAGGTTTTACGCCCCAGGATTGCCTTGAGATTCCCGTGGTCTTCACGTGAACGTTCATCTTCGCGATAAACTTCTGGTTACTTGAGGTAATCCTGTATGAACCCAACTCACATCAGTTTTTACCATTTTTTTTATCATGATTCTCCCTCCTTTATCCTCAAATGGCTATTGCTACTTCTGAACTCAAATCTTCTCCTTTAGTTCTTCACAATTTCGTTCTCACACTGTAGGGCTCAAGATTCTATTCTCACGAGAGTTCCCTTTTACTCTCAGCATGGTCAGGCACTCTTTACTGTATCTCTACAAGGACTCACAATTTATATTGATGTGTTAAAGCAAACCCTCACTGGATGCCGTTAAACATTTAAACCAATCCCGCCTTCCCTGACCCCTCGTTGCTTCACATTTTTATTTTAAGGCACACTACCCAAAATGGGGAGTATTCCCCACACTTCATGATCTCCTGGAGGAGTAAGACCAGTTCCCTTCTT